GACAGACATCTAGTGGTCAACTGGAGCAACTACATGGAAAACTTTCGTTTCCCACCACAAACCAAATCTGTCGTGTACCCGAAATGCATCGCTTCAGTTTTCCAATAAACAGTTTCAAATTACTTTATTGATGCTTCTTTAATGAAAAATTTACAACAAACAAAAGAAAAAGACAAAGAAGCAGCCGAACTAGCAATCCTCAACAACTTTTTAAAGAATCAGCCGAACTAGCAATCCTCAACAACTTTTTAAAGAATCAGCCGAACTAGCAATCCTCGACAACTTTTTAATTTTTACACCAGGATCTAAAAGGTCTGTTTCAGGAGCTCACATCCCCAGCAATCGGCGGTTGTAGGATTAAGCTGTAAAAGGGTTCACACACCGCTAGTTGGCAGTGTTGTGCATATATTTTGCATGAATTTTTGCTGGCTAGTAAGTGTCAAATTGAACTTGTGCTTTAAAATTAGCTTCTGCTAGTTTTTCTATGGCATAAGCGCTTTTGAGGTTGCGGACCTAAATATTTACATAAGYGCTTTAGAAATTGCAGAGCTAATTTTTGTATTAGTGCTGCCCACCACTACAAACCAAAAGCGTGATTGGGCAAAGTGACTATTTTGGGTGGGGTTTGAAGAATGCCGGGCAGCTGTGGGGATGTGTAGCTCAGTCAAAACAGCCAGAAAGCACCTACCCTTTTAAATATAAATAATAATTTTAATCATAACTCGAGARAAGAAGGTACTGCTTGCAACAAATTTAAGTCAATAAATTATACTTGCATGTTCACAATTACCATTACCGGTACTTCCTCTTGTTACTTGCCCCACAAGACAAGTCAACTCGACTAATCGTGATTTTGCCAAAATTCGCCCACCCAAGAACCTCCCACTATATTCCAAATTGTCAGTCACAATCACAATTTTCCCGCACACTGAGGAACCCAGATGTCTGGTTTTCATGGCGTCTGAAATGATGGAATCACTGATCCGCTGTCTCACATCTTGTTGAATTATAAACCAGCCTTATTCAGAGGAGACACCATTCAGCAGTAAGAGGTAATGCAGTTGAAGGACTATTCTGTGCAAAACCTAAATTTTATCAATCCTTCCTTCCTCATCTGGCAGGACTGGCCATGATAAGGAAGAGGCGTGAATTAGACCAGTCCTGCTTCATGTATTTCACAACCAGTACAGGCACAAGCCTCGCATCACAAATCCACCACGCTTCCTTGTGCACAACAGGACTTAAGTGCTATGATAAATAAAAAAACGAATTTCCTGTGAAAACACAATGTGAATATTTTTTGATGATTATTATCGCTGAAAATGGCTGAAGAAGCTGGAATATTTTTAAACACTGAACTATTAATGCTTGCTGAATTTTGACAGTTGAGGTGGAACCCACAACTAGCTTAATGATTGCTGAAATTTGCTGAAGGGAGCAGCTGAAAAATACAGAAAAAAGTCATATGAAAAGTAAAAGCAGTAGAAATATAGCTGAAAGGGGCAGGAAAAGCTGAAGAGGGCAGAAAGAAAGTGAAAGGAACACAAGGTAGCAGAAGATGAAGTTGAAATTAGAAGAATATCAGAAAATGTCATATTGATAGATAAAAAAGCAGAAAAAGCTAAAATCAGCTAAATAGAAGCTGAAGGAAGCTGAAACAGCACAGATGTGTTAAAAAGTTGAACCAGAACAAAATGTAAAAGGTGTAGTAAAGATTTATGAACATTTTCAAGAACGCTCCTTTCATTTTCAAAAGAAAAACAAAAGTAGTATAAAAAACTAAAGATCTTGAAAAGTATAAATTGCTGAAATACCAAGYCATGGCCAGAATTTTTTGAAGGAGCTGAACGTTTTGATATATAAATTGATAAAATAGCACAAAAATTGCAAAAGAAGATCTGTGTCGACAAATGTACTGAAGAAAAACTGATCTCATCTGTATGAATGCTTGATAAACATTCACACAATAACTCACCACAGCCTCGATATGGAAGTTTTTGTTCTCCTCAAACCATTGTGGATGCTTTTGAGAACCCACTGTGTTGTTCATTTGTGTCTAAAGACTTTGCCAAGAACTTGACTGATTGTTTTACTTTATAGCAGTGCTGGAGCCTTATAATTTTACACATTAACTTTTCCTCTCAATGGTGGCACTGTATTATCTATCTTTTTGTTCTTTCTTCAGGTTCATTGCTCTTTCTTCACATCTCTAGCCATGATTAGCAAGGATCTCAGATTTTGTGAAGAACACACTTTCTAACGTAATTTCTGCCTTTGTTTCTYACTTCCAGGATGTTCAGATAGTGAGTACAGACGAGAACCAGGTTTTCCTTGCCCTCCAGGAGTGGTACCAGTCCGACACATATAATCTGTACCAATCGGACCCCCAAGGCGTCTACTACTCCATGATCCTGGAAAATGTGCGCAGCACCAAGCAGCCAGAGGAGAATGTCCTCATTGATATCCTTGAGGTGAGATGATAGAAAGCCTCTGTATCACATGCAGTAGTTTTATTTTAAATGAGCACTCACAAAAGACTGAATATTGTGTGTATTTGGTGTAAACTGGGAAAACTACTAAAGCCAGATTCCAGCAGAGTTGGAGATTCTTTACATCCAAACAGTGTTCCATAGACCTCAGCAACCAGTGGGCATGAAAGCACCTCTTCCAAAGATTTAAAAAGCAGCACTTAGTCACACTTAAGAGGATAATGTCTACACTACATTTTAATAATCTTATTATCAATAAATCCCATTAAAATACCAAAACCAGCAAAGTGCCACTTGGTTTTTCTATGACTTCCCTATTTTGTGAGCAGCATTTACAACAAAATACATAGTTTTCCTAGTCAAATCTGTTAAAGTTTTATTTAAAAAAGCACAATGGTGAGGCTCTTCAGCAACAGAATAGACTTTTGTTTGTGAAAATAACAAGTTTCTTATAAATGCCGAACAACCTCAAAAAGCTTCAATCCATCGGATTAGTTCTTCATTAGTTTACCATTTGGATGTTTCAGCCCATAGA